CAGAACTTGTCAGAACCTGCTAAATAGCACCCATGATCACATCCACTTTGCATTTGAAAGTCAAATATGTGTGTGTGTGCATACATACAGAGTTATATTAAGTATGTGCAATGATGTGAAATGTTTTAGAGATTTGAGGGTGTGGGGGGGAAAGCTAGATGTCTGGTTACAATAGATATCTTATTTTTAATAGCCAGGAGTGCCTGGATTAAATCAAGTGCTGTTTAGAATGACCCAGAGCTCCAAACTCATTCCTGAGATGTCTGATAGTTATCAGTGAATAATCTGTCTTGAAGGAATTAAGACTCTCTTATTACTCAAATCAGGACGGTCCAGGAAAACAATGTCCAAGGATTGGAGTAGCATTTTCAAACCTTGGCAAGTTTAAGATAAGTGAACTCCCAAAATTCCCCAGTCGGCATGTAAATCTTGGTTGGTTTCAATCTTAAGTAGGGGGTGGTTTGGGGGGGAAGGGGAGCATGGCTTAGAATGTTATTTTAATCTATCCCATTTGCTTTGTTTCTTCATCCATTAAGACCACAAAAAGGAGTTCAGTAGTCAAGTTGAGCCTGTTCTGGGAATTGTGCTAACAAGTGGTATGAAGCCAGACAGACAGATTAACAGAGTTGGAAGGGACCTTGTAGGTCATCTAGCCCAACCCACTACCCAAGCAGGAGACCCTACACCATTTCTGACAGATGGCAGTCCAATCGCTTCTTGAAAGGCTCCAGTGATGAAGCTCCCACAACTTCCAAAGGCAAGCTGTTCCATCGGTTGATTGTCAGGAAATTTCTCCTTATTTCTAGGTTGAATCTCTCCTTGGTCAGTTTCCATCCATTATTCCTTGTCTGGTCTTCAGGTGCCTTGGAAAATAGCTTGACCCCCCTCCTCTCTGTGGCAGCCCTTCAAATATTGGAAGACTGCTATCATGTCTGCCCTGGTCCTTCTCTTCACTAGACTAGCCATGCCCAGTTCCTGTAACCGTTCTTCATATCTTTTAGTCTCCAGTCCCCTAATCATTCTGGCATGCTGACAACTGCATTGAGCCACAATAAGGTTTGAACGTAACGTATTACGTACTAGGCATAGCACTTTTGTTTTGCTATCCGGTTTCACCCTCAGCCATAAAAACTCATCTTGTGTCTTTGAGCCATTCGTTCTCACAGCACAACCTACCTATGGTTGCAGAAAAAAGAAGGTTGTGCTACATGTACCATTTTGGGCTCCTGAATGAAAGGCAGGACAGAAATCTGATAAACCGATACAGATGGTCCCCGAGTTATGACTGACCTGAAAAAGGGGGTTTACAACCCAACTCCAAAGTTCTGTGGTCATGTGACCACATTTTAAAAGTTTTGCTGAAAACTGGCACTTACTTCTGGTTTACAGCAAAACTGCCCCCAAACAAATCTATTGGTTTGCTTAATAACGGCACTCACTTAACCGCAGAAAGGTAACTAAATTAGTAAAGTTTACAACCATTACAATATTACAGCTGTAATGGACAAACTCCATTAGGGTCCTATGTAGAGGAGTATCTGTAATTCTGTTTGTTGTGTAATTCTATTGTGGGCCCAGCCAAAGAATTGGAGCTCATAGAAGAATTTCAGCCTCCAAATTCTCCCAAGATGCCCAGATGACATGCATTCATTACAAGTGTGCAAATTGCAATTACAGGTATTAATTGCAACTTAATATCTTAATTAATTGCAACTTACAACTACAATGGAGCCCAAAATTTCCATTGCTAAGCAAGACAGTTAACTGAATTTTGCCCCATTTTATGATGTTTCTTGCCAAGGTTATTAAATGAATCATTGCAATTGTTAAGTTAGTAACATGTTAAGTGAATCTGGCTTCCCCATTGACTTTGCTGGTCATGTTGCAAAGGTGATCACATGACTTTGGGCCACTACAATAGTCATAAATATGAACCAGTTGCCATCCAAATTTTGCTCACCTGACCATGAAGACACTGCAACAGTTGTTAAGTATGAAAAAAGAGTCATAAGCAGGGGTGAAATGCTCCCGGTTCGGATCGGATTGCCCAATCTGGTAGTGATGGAGGTGGGTGGTTCGGAGAACTGGTAGCAAAAATCCCTGCCCCCCCCCCTTGCCCATCTGAGCCATGCAATCATCAGAAGCTTTTTTTAATTTTTAAAAGCATTTTTTCTACAAACTCTTCAGCCGAAAAAATGCTTTTAAAAGTAAAAAAAAAAAAAAAAGCCTCCGATAATCGCGCGGCTCAGCTGGGATCGTCAGAGGCTTTTAAAAGCATTTTTTTTTACAACCTTCTTCGGCCGAAGAAGTTGTAGAAAAAATGGTTTTAAAAGGTTAAAAAAAAGAAGTTGGCCACACCCACCCAGTCACATTACCCCCCCCCCACCAAGCCACACCCACAGAACCGGTAGTGATAAATTTTACATTTCACTACTGGTCATAAGCCACATTTCTCAGTGCCATTGTAACTTTGTGAACAACCACTAAACAAACTGTTGTTAAGTTGTGGACTACCTGTATGTTAATCAGGAACAGTTGCTTCCCAAACTTTAAAGCAAAGATCCCAAAGAGCTCATTGGCTAAACTCAGGATCCAGCATCCAGTGCATGCATTTATTCTTGAATCATAGCCAGAATGGGAGCTCTACCTTGTATTAAATCCTTCGATTGGAAAAGCCCCTTTAAGCAAGAAAATGGGATTTTCTGCATGCTCTGAATTTATTCTATGGCTTATTTGCAACAAGCTTAATGTTAACTTTAACAGCCCGTTTGGTTCTTTGTGGTTAAATGTCTTCTCTAAACCCAGAAAATGGGTTTAGTAATCAAGTGAACCATTTTATTGGGTTTTTTTTTTTTAATTTGATTTATATGCCGCTCTTCTCTGGAGACTCAGGGTGGCTTACAATGCGTTAAGCAATAGCTTTCATACTTTTGTATATTTATACAAAGTCAGCTTATTGCCCCCATAATCTGTTGTGTGAACGAAGCCTATATTTACCCAAGTTGGGGACAAATTGATCTAATTCTGACTTGGTCTGAAGGATGGAAGTGGCTGCATTTTATAAATTTCCCAGGATGATCCAGGGAATACCTGATGTGGCAACACACAACGTACGCAAAGCTACTACCACAATCGTAACACTCAGCCTGACAATCTCAGCCACTGATATAAAGAGGAACCTATAACTTAAGGAATGACTAGGCAGGTGGACAGAGAAATTATGATAATTGACCTTTTGTAAAATAATCCCTGGAACTTGGAAGCTGCTGAAGGATACTAGGGCCACTGCAGTCTCTTTGAAGTCTCATTGGCCACTGCAGTCTCTCCTCCATTAGTTAGACATGTGGGAAACAGGCACGAAACATTTGGCATCCAGTTGTGTGTGGTGGTGACTGTACTGTAGTTTCTGCCATGCAAGAGTTTAATTTTGCATAGCCTAGTTCAGGGGTCTGCAACCTTAAATACTCAGAGAGCCTTTGGACCCATTTCCTACAGGAAAAAAAAAAACACCGGGAGCCTCAAAACCTGGGTGGGCGTGGCCAACTCGATGTCACTCACTTCCACTGGTCACACGACCCCCCCTAGCCACACCTACCCAGCTGGTCATTAGGGCAGAGAACCAGTTGTTAAAAACACTGGGAACCACAAAATCCTTTTGACATCTCTCTCTCCCCTCCCTCCCTCTCTCCCCCCCTCTCTATCTCTATGTCTCTCTCTCTCTCTCCCTTTCTGTATCTCCCTTGTCTCTGCCTTGGCCACTTCTCCGTCCCCCACTGTAGCCCATACCTTCTCAGGCCAGACGAGGAGTGACTGGGAGGAAAGGGCGAGGGGCGGGGCCAGCCAGTGTTGGGATCACCTGACAGGGAGCCACAGCAGAGGGCTCAAAGAGCCACATGCGGCTTCGAAGCCGTAGGCTGCTGACCCCTGGCCTAGTTTCAGGTCCTGTTAAAAGCAAACATTCAAACACCAAGAGTTTGGGATGTATTGAAGGTTAACAGCAAAATAATATGCGCCATCAGGGTCCCAAGACACCCGATTAATGCAAAGTGCTGCTTATCATTAATCCTTTTTATTAATATACTCACCTCTTTGAGCGGGTGGTTAGGAGGGTGGGTGAACAAGCTCTGAAGAAGGAATATGCCTCCTAACTTCAACTGACCTTGCCTCCACATCTTGGTTTGTCAGCTTTACCCATAATCTTCTGCAGAATGCCATGCAATGCCAGTAATACTGATGTTCTACAGATGCATTGTGATTGCAACTTCTAAGGTTGCAACATCTAAGGACTGCAACATCTTAGTCCAGTATTTTGCTTCTCTGTAGAGACAGACGCATCGCCTGCCATTACTCCTCACAACTGGGTATTTAAAGGCATGGTGCCTCAAAGATAATCTTGAGCCTCAAGGCTGATAGCCTTTAATCTAAAGCAGTGTTTCCTTGGAAGCTTGAAGATGGGTGGACTTCAACTCCAGAATTCTGGGAGTTGAAGCCCACCCATCTTCAAGCTACCAAGGTTGAGAAACACTGATCTAAAGCATGGTGGCTCCAATTCAGTGTTTTGGGGCTAAGCACGTGCCATGTAGAAAACCATTTTCTAACTTCCTTTTAATCACTGGATGATCCTTGTCGCAGTGTTTGAAATTAAGGACAATACATCTTCCTGTTTACTTTCTTCGTGCCAGAATCATTCTACCTCCATCTCTTTTGTAGCTTGCTCCCTTCGTCTTGTTCATTTTAATGTTAATATTTATGCTTTTATTTTTAATGTTTTACCTTGTTTCTCTACTGTTGAGAAGCTGCACAGTCATCTCTAGGCAAGATGGGGTGCATATAAATAATAAAATAAAACAAATCAGAAGCTTGTGTATCTCCCGTCACTTTGATTGTCCACTTCTGTAGTTCCAGCTCAAATTACCTTCATTTTTAAATATGGCGACCAGAGCCATACATAGATTTTCAGGTGTGGTCATGCCCTAGATTTATATAAGTGTGCTACAATGTTGACCATTTTTAATTCCTTCTTTATTTTTCCTAGTTGGAGCTTGTCATTCCCACAACAGTCATATACATCAGCCTCTTTGCCGAGGTACCCTTTATGACCCCAAGATAATTTTCCTGGTTAGTAACAAGACAGTGCAGACTCCAGCTGTGTTTATGAAAAATTAACGCAGAGTGTTTTGCCCCCAATGAATCCTTTTATACTTACTTGTTCTGCTGATCTCGGCTTGTATGTGCCTTTTCTTCCCCCCTCCCATTCCAATATCGGAAAGTTTCCCAGGACTCTTGAGAAACAGCAATGTCAAGAGAAGCTTCAACTTTGGTCAGAGGCCGCCCACCAGGTTGATTGTCAAGGATATCATGATCCTTCTGAGGATCAAATCCAGTATTTTCACTGGCAAGTATCAACACTCCTTCCCAAAGAGAAGAATAAGTACCATGTTTTCCCCAAAATAAGACCCTGTCTTATATTTTTTGAACCCTGAAATAAGAGCTTGGCCTTATTTTCGGGGAGGTCTTATTATTTTGGGACGCGTGGAGCAAGACGGGGCTCCTCTTGCCGTCTTACCTGATTTCCAGCTCTGTCTCCCTAATCCTAAACAGAGGAAATGGTGGGGAGCAGCTGTGCATGTGGTTAATATTTTCGGGGAGGGCTTATTTTCGGGGGAGGGCTTATTTTCGGGGAAACACAGTAGACAGAAGAAGGAGCCAGGTAGAGACTTCTGGACAAATAAGAATCCTGCAGTCAGAGTGGACTGATATCTCTCGCTTTTAAATAAAATTGTAAAGTCCAGCCCCGTGTATATAGTGGCTCCTGATTAGGGTATCACCATCATGCCTGACCCCATCTTGCTTGCCCTTTCCTAATTTATATCATGACCCTTTGTGAAATCTATACCTTGGGAAAAGCTTTGTTTTCCATGTTCCTGGAGATCAAAGAAGCTCAGACAGTGAGAAAGGGAGCAGGGGAGAGTTCGGGGAGCGCTCACAGTGACAGACTAGTAGCTACACCTCCCTCTTCCCTCTTCTACAGAAAAAAATGTATTTCCTCAACGAGAAGGGAAAACTGCTCCCAACAGGGCAGTCAACTGATGGAGAAACCAACCAGGAAGATCTTTGAGCCCAAACATCCCGCATTTAAAAACCAGATAGGTTGGGAACTTGATCCCTCTTTGGAAATTAGATGGCTTCTTCCAGGAATATTAATTTCTACTCTCTCCTGCTTGGAGTTAGAGGGTGGGTTAATACACAATTGGGGGGGGGGGAGGCTGGATCTAGGGAGGAAGCAGTACAGGCATTAGAAGAGGAAGATGGTGTTTGAAGTAACGGGGGCGGAGGGCAGTCCTTTTTCTCAGCCCCCCTCCCCGGATAGCAACAGTGACTCCCCGCCACCGTGTGGAGGGAGGGTCTTGATGGCAATCTGGTCTGAGGGTTCTCCCTTCCCACCAACCAGAAGACTGTTCCATTTGGCTCCCCCTGGGCCGAGCAGAATCCCTGAATATTATTTATTTTAAAGAGTCAACATTTATTGTGCAAGAAAAAAAAAAAGAAAAAGCCGAGAGACCAAAGGATTGCATCGCCTTTCAGAGAGAGACGGGCAGCAAAGGCAGCAGTGGATGTTGGCAAGGCAAGGAGTAACATTCCCCCAAGCAACCCATCAGGTGCAAGGACCTATTGCATACTCTGGCTCATTAACCAACCATGGCTCAGACACTCCCTTCTCTTGGCCTGCTTGACGGTGCCAGCCAGTCCCCAACCCCACTTTAATGGAGTAATGGCACCCAGCCTGCTCCGGCCAAGTCTCCTTCAACTATACAGAGTGACCCATAGGTGTACCACAAGCAGCCTTTCGTAAGAGCTCTCCCTCCAAAAGAAGAAAAAAAAAGAATAGATTCATCCCATTCTACAAGATGTCTGGTTTTCCTGTAAAACCATTCCTGGTCGTGCAGGTGGGCTTGTCCACTGAGAGGAAGAGCTAGAGAAGAGCCTGGGTGGGCAATGCAATCTAGCCATTTCAAGCCCAGAGAGAGCATCCCCGTAAATCTCTCCCCTTGGCTTGTAAGTGTTGGGTCCGGCCCGTTATGCAATCTCCTTGATCCTATGGATGTAGTTGTGCAGCTCCTCGGGCTCCTGCAAACCTATGTCTTGGCAGACCCACTCCAAGTCCTCTTCATCTGCTATAGGAATAGAATTATAGGCCAGTTCCTCAGAGGGCATGGTGGCAAAGGTAGTAAATTTGACCCGCTTACGCTTGGAAGTGGGAGAATTGAGAGGGTCTTCGTTCTGGTCCCTGGTGGAGCCCCCAGAAGAGCCATCCCCCCGCCCGTGAACCTGACTCTGCACACTGGTTTGCGAGGAGCCGCTGCTGTGGTGGTCACCATGGCAGCAGGTCTGCACGTTCTCCAGTGGGTTGCCTGGGCTCTCAGGCTGAGGAGAAAGATCATTCTGGGCCCGCAATGGTTGTCCATTACCCAAGAAGACCCAGTGGTGGGAGTGGTCCATGTTGGTTTGTCCTTCTGGCGGGATCCGTTTGTGCCGGTACTTGAGTACAAAGACAATACAATTAATAAGGAACACCAGAATGGCTAAACAGAAGACACCGAGCAGGGCATACATGCCTATTTCCAGGTCTGTGAGTCCTCGAGAGACTTGTACGTAGCCAGTGGGAATAGCTGGGAAGTCCTCCGTTGGGAGGATGACGCTGGGCGCCCAACTCTCCTGACTTGGCACCAGAGGCCACTCTACTTCCACCCGTGGTGTGGTGCGAGGCATACTCTTCTCCCGCCCAGGTCTGCTAGGAGTTTGGACAGGCTCATAGTCATAAGTAGGTTCCTCCTCAGAGCTGAAATGCACACGGACATTAGCCAATGTGGTGGCCAGCACACTCTTGCGTTTGGTCTTCTGGCAGCTCTCGCAGATCAGCAGGTCAGCTTTAATCAGCTCGCCGGACCCTTCCCCTTCAGCCCTCACTAGTGGGAAGGTCCGCTCGGGCACCACCGATACCACTGACTTGTCCTGGCTTGTCACCACCAGTGTGTAATCCTTTGGGTCATACAAAGAGAGGGGAGCAATTGTGCCATCACTGTACGACACCCAGAGACTGAGCAGAGCTTCCTATTTGGGGAAAAAACAAAAAACAAAATTGTTTGGAATCACTCATAAACTTTTGCACAAGAATGTATTTTTGGATCTCCTAGGACAGTGTTTGTCAACCTTGGAAGCTTGAAGATGGGTGGACTTCAACTCCCAGAATCCCCCAGCCAGCAGCGCTGGCTGGGGGATTCTGGGAGTTGAAGTCCACTCATCTTCAAGCTTCCAAGGTTGACAAACACTGTCCTAGGAGATCTCAAGTTACTTAGATCACAGACAGTATGTGACTTCTGGAGAATAGAACCTTGTAGTTATGGAGAACCCAGTTCAAAATGCATGCCTCCTCATTCCGTTCAATAGAAAATGATTTTCTGGTTTTTTTTAAAAAAAGTCTTGATTTAAGAACTCTCCTACCTTAGGAACTACAGAGCATTCCAGAATATCTTTCCTTCAGTTGATATATTTGGGCTGCCAGGACAGAAAGGTCATGAATAGTTGTCAAGCACAATTTCAGAAAAGCTTCTTTGCCAATACTGCTGGTCAAGGAAGACATAACAAGGCGTCCTTTGATCTCCCAGAACCTAGGACCCCCCGTTTCAAAACCACCACTCTCTATCAATCCGAATCCCCCAATTTCCACTGTTTTCATCCGTCTGCTTCTATGTTTTATCTAAAACCTTCTCCAGCCCGTCACCCTCCAGATATTCTGAAATGCAAATTCCCATCTCCCCATCTAGTGTACATTATAATCTGTCCTTTTTTCTCAAACCGGTCTCTCTTATGTCTGATTTATTCATACCCAGCCAGTCACAATATTCTCAATTTTCCATATTCACCCAATATGGAAAACCATACATTTGGATTAACGAAATGGTTGAAAAATCAAGGATTACCTGAATTTTGTAGGGCTTTTGAAACCTACATGGCTATTTATGTCAGCCTTGCTAGGGAGGGAACCTGGACATGGTATTCTTCTTCTGTGATTTCTATTTTATTTTATTTTTATTGGTTGCATCAAATATTTTGCAATGGCTTCATGTTTTCTTTTTGTACAGCTTACTCTGTAAACTGCTTGGAATCATTTAAAATATGTGATGTACTCTAGCAAACTATCAAATAAACGTTTACGAGGCTACGGAACTCTTGTAAAAAAAATTCCTTCCCTGGTAAGCTACCTTCTCCTATACACATGCAGCTGAGTCCACACAAGAATCTAAGCAACAACAACGTTAACTGATTAGAAAGCAATGATGGTTAAGCATGTCGTGTGAATGCAACTGCCAGATCTTTAACTGAGTTTGTTCACTTTATTGAGCAAACCAGGAGTGAAATGCTCCTGGTTCGGGCCGGATTGCCCAATCCGGTAGCGATGGCGGCGGGTGGTTCAGAGAACCAGTAAGAAAAATCCCTGGGGCCCCCATGCCCAGCTGAGCCACGCAATCATCAGAGGCTTTTAAAAAAAATATGTAAAAGCATTTTTTCTACAACCTCTTCGGCTGGAAAAATGCTTTTAAAAGTAAAAAAAAAAGCCTCTGATGATCGCGTGGCTCAGCTGGGATCGTCAGAGGCTTTTAAAAGCATTTTTTCTACAACCTCTTCAGCCGAAGAGGTTGTAGAAGAAAATGGTTTTAAAAGTTAAAAAAAAAGAAAAGTTGGCCATGCCCACCCGGTCACATTACCCCTCCCACCAAACCATGCCCACAGAACCGGTAGTAACAAATTTTACATTTCACTAGAGCAAACCCAAGGACATAATAATGTATTGTGAGAAGAATTTTGCTGCAATTTTCAGTGATTTTTTTTTAAAAAAACCCAGTAAAACCCAGTAAAACATATTTCTCTGAACCTTTTAAAGATTCAGCAATCTCTCCAATGAACTAGAGTTCCCCTTCCACATCAATGCACAGAAAAATTCAGTCCCCTGTTAGGGACATTTTTGAGAAGTGATTTGTTCAGACCAAGTTCCATCTTTCCTGTGGCATCCTGGTTCTCGGTCTACAGAGAATATTTTCAAGTGAAGCAACCTCTCTTCCCATGGGCCTCTCTCTGCAGTTTGAAGAGAACAGTTGGCCTTTTCTTTGGCCGTCTGTGAGAACGGGACCAATCCACTCCCTTGAACCTTGGGGGCTTCTGGGAACTACAACGTGAAAATACTTTCCTAAGAGTGGTCAACGTTACCTGCTTGGAGAAATTGAGAGTCTGCTGGGCTGTTGTCTTGGCCACAATGGTGTGGCTATTTCCAGGGCTGGCATGAAGGGAAAGGGAGAGGTTTGAGACCACCTGAGCTTTCAATTCCACAATGGTAACCTTCTCATCAACCACAGTCACTGATGTCTCACCAAGGACAGCTTCCATAAGTGGAGAAACTACCTGTAGAAAAAATGGATGCCCTTATTGATATAGAACTATGACTGAGGATTCACAGAATCATATTTTTTTTAAAATTTGAAAAGAACCCCATTAAAAGCATAAGAAGAGCACTAAATGGATATTTCTGGATTAAATGGAAGATCCTTCAAATTGAGCATTTTTTTTTCTAATTTAATGCAAATGTTGGTAGCATTAATTGGGAGCTGGAGACTGCAAACAATAGTGCTGAAGGGCAAATGTAGCACATAGACCTTATATAGCTACATCTCCCAAATCTCTTCTTATAAAAAAGTTGCTCCAATTTCACCATTTTTTAAAGTTGACTTATTTTCCAATAACCTCTTCAGATAATGGTAGACAACAATCAGGATGAAATAGACCCTGAAATCTCTCTCTTTTTTTAAAAAAAAAAACTTATCCTAGCCCAGAACCTGACATTTTTAGGCCCAGCAAGTGGAAGACAAACATATACTGATATTCTTAGAATCAAAACTTTCATTAAAAAAAAAAAAGAGTATGAAAGGAATAAAATATACCTTGCATTGCTCAACGATAAGCAAGGCTTCATATATACTGCAGCACAAAACATGCATACAAGTCTAATATTACTATCGTAACTTATTCGTATCATCTTTTTCCTGCACTGAATATGGGTTATCTCACACGAGGAATATGTTTTCTCTCTCTTTTTTTTTTAAAAAAGCAAGGAATACATTACAGGAAAAGAAATGCCCATGACAGAACAGCTTCTGAGGTTTTGTAATAGAGGTTCTGGATTTCAAAACTGCCTCCTGAGATCTATAGCCACATTTTCCATTTCTCCCTCTGGAACTGGGCTTCTCATAATAATAGAGCCAGTCCACAGATCATCACCCATTCATGATCTCTCCTTCACATAGACACACAGAAAGTTCTTCAAAGGATATTTTCTCAGCGGGAAGCACACTGACCTTGAGAAGCACGATCTTTGAAGATGACAGCCTGGGATTTTTGCTTAGGAAAGCAATACAATGTCAAAGACTGGAATTAATTGAAGTTACAGAGATTCCTGGCACAGAGTCAAACCCTGCTCAGAAATGTTCGGGGAGAAAATGCACAGGAGAGAGGCAAGGAGTGTGGGCGAGGAATGCAAAATGGAGGAAGAAAGGTACACAAAACTCTTCTTCGAAGCCTGCCTAAACTAAACCAACTACTATGTTGGCTAGGAACTGTGACCTTGATAATCTGACACTGCAATAGGTTGAGGGGTACTGCTTTAAATACACAGAACCACACACTGAATGGGTTATATACATTCATATCTGAATTCTCTGCGTAAGGATTCAATCAATCAATCAGAATAGAGCTGGAAGGGACCTTGGAGGTCTTCTAGTCCAGCCCCCTGCTGAAGCAGGAGAACCTATACTATTTCAGATAAGTGACTGTCCAGCCTCTTCTCTTCTTAAAAACCTCCAGTGATGGAGCGTCCATGATTTCTGAAGGCAAGCTGTTCCACTGGTTAGTTGTCCTCACTGTTAGGAAGTTTCTCCTCAATTCCAGGTTGCTTCTCTCCTTGATTAGTTTCCATTTTTTACATATTACATAATTAATTTGCATACTTAACATTACATATTATTATGTAATATGTCATTCCTACTCCCAAATTCATGTTCACTGGTTGCTAACTCCTTGAACCGACTCCACTGAAGATTCTATTAAAAAAAAATGGAAATGGAAATATGATGCTGGATTGCTATTCTTGCTCTAGAAAATAAAAAAGTAGAATAGGTTGGGAGGGAAAGGATTAGATAGTTTTGAAAACAGGACATTCACTTTCTTTGCCTCCAAATGCATGAGACAATAATAAGCAAAGGGTTTATCTGGATAGCTGCAAATTTATCCTTTCTTCACTTTTGCCATTACAACAGACAGCCTGCTCGGTCTGATGACAGCTTGTGGATCATTTCATGAAAATCCGATGGCATTTACTGGGATTTTGTGCATCCGAGGAATGACATCCATATCCATCCTTCCTTCCTTCTTCCCCCACCCTATACAACTAATATAATATATATATATATATATATTTTAGTTCAGCACTTGATTAGCTTTTACCTTGAACAAGGTAGCGCCCGGCTCCCTGCCAGCTAGGGTTTTGCTATTGACCATGTGTGCCACACGTGGATTGTCCACCTTCATGAAGTCACTGACCAGGTCTGTGACCTCCACCATCCACTCAGGCCCCAACATCGTGACCACCTGATCTGTGCCCTCTGAGGAGGTAGTGTGGAACTGGGTAAACACTTGCAGGGTGGAATGCTGGTACTGAAGGGTGCAACCCCTGCTTTGTCTCCGTTCTTCTTCCTCCTCCTCATCGTCACTCTCCCGTATGGACCTGTGAGAAGTTGAAGGACATCAGCATGGGAAAAGAATTTGGCTGGCAGCTTTGTTTTAATGCAAACTATTTTCCTTTTTTCTTCTGATCAATCTTTTTTTCTTTCTCAGATGGTCAGAAATCAGTTTCTTGACCTCCAAGAAAGACAACCATGAATTTAAGATAACTGCGCCTCTCCCCGCCAAATAAGAATTGCAGATAGACAAGAAAAGAAAGATAAACAAAAAATGACACCAAATGCCTACCTTCCTCATCTTGTCAAGCTGACATTGCCAACTGGAGCTAAAACCAATCCTGAGAATTATACCTCTATCCTAGCCGTGTCAAACTCGCGGCCCACGTGCTGGATTGTGTCACGCACTGGCCACGCCCCCCCCCCCCCGGTTTAGTGAAGGGGGAAAAGTCACGATACATCACATGATGACGTGACGACGTGAGTTTGACACCCCTGCCCTATCCCAAAGAAATGGATGGACATGATACACAGTATACAAGTGTGCATATCTGTACATATTCCTGTCATGAGCCAGACTCCTAAACATGGAGCCTCAAGGCAAGCAAAATTAATTTACACTAGCTGAATGGCTACCAATGATACTTAATTTTTTGTTTGTAAAATACGGTATCTCATTTACAAAGCTGGTTGATTGCTATCTATGTATTCTCCCTCACACACACACACACACACACACACACACACACACTAATACTCATCTTCACACAAGTCACAACACTGGCAAGTACATGAAGGGAGGGAATATGTAGGATGAAAATGCCAGAAGGGGGAGAAGAAGGGATGGGGAAATTGAGAGCCATCCAGAGTGCTCCACAGGTGTTACAAAATAAATTCACCAGGCAGTTTCTCTTCCCAAGCAACACTAATCTGAAGGTCTGCAGTCATTAGCATTTCTTGCCCATATGTTTATCTTCGTAACTTTCTCTATCCTTACCATCAAACTGAAGGGAATGCCCTGCCCAATTAATTAATCATTTGCGGGGGGGGGGGACATGTTGTCAGGTAGATAAGGTAATCACTCTGACCCCACCATGGTGTCATACAGCCAGCTGGATCTTGAAGATGATGGTATCACAACACCCAAAATAGAAAGGGCAATGTTTCCTGTCCTCGAAAGTGAATATTTCGAATCATGATCATGAATTGAATATTCTCATTTCACTGAACCATGCTTATTGCTTATACATTCGGCAGCTGTATGGAAAGTCTAGGGTAATAGCATAGCTCTCCCTATTGGCCACTCAAACATCTGCAGCAGACTTTCCCATTCTATTCCTTTCTGCATTACTGGAGTCATAGGAACCACATCATGCAAACCACTTAAAACACTAATCCCCAACCTTTTGGGCACCAGGGACCGGTTCTGTGGAGGGCAGTTTTTCCATGGATCTGGGGGTGGGGAGCAGGGGGAAGAGGCATGGTTTCACGTGCTACTTAGATCCCATGCCTGCACAGCTAGGGTTTTGCTTGCTTGCACAGCCTGGTTACTGGTGGGCACGGACTATTAATAAACCTCGGACCAGGGCTTGGGGACACCATATTTTAGGCATGTTCTATGCAGGAATCCAAATTAAATTCTTCTCTTCGCTATATAAGCCTTTTGAGGGAGATGGGCTGCTTAGAAATATTAATTATTACGAGCCTTGGTAGTACATATATTATATTAATACGAGCCTTGGTAGTACAGTGGTTTAATGCACCCTGTTATTAACACAGCTGCCTGCAATTTCTGCAGGTTCGAATCTTACCAGGCTCAAGGTTGACTCAGCCTTCCATCCTTTCTAAGGTAGGTTAAATGAGGACTCAGTTTGTGGGGGCAATAAGCTGACTTTGTATAAATATACAAAAGTATGAAGGCTATTGCTTAACGCATTGTAAGCTGCCCTGAGTCTCCGGAGAAGGGCGGCATATAAATCAAATTAAAAAAAAAAATTACCGTGTTTTCCCCAAAATAAGACATCCCCTGATAATAAGCCCAATTGGGCTTTTGAACGCATAGCAATAAGACGAAGTGCTTATTTCAGGGTTCAAAAAAATATAAGACAGGGTCTTATTTTCGGGGAAACATGGTAATTAACTAATTAAATATTCAAAAAGGGGGAATCACTATCTCTTTGGGTAATTAGTTCCACTGTTCAATTCCTCTCCCATGTAAGTTTCTTCCTAACATTCAGTTGAATTAACAGAATAACAGAAATGGAAGGAACCTTAGAGGTCTTTCTTCAAGCAAGAAATCCTATACTGTTTCAGACAAAGGGCTTTCCAATCTCTTCTTAAAAACCTCCATTGTTGGAGCATCCACAACCTCTGGAGGCAAGTCGTTCCAATGATTAATTGTTCTAACTCGCAGGAACTTTCTCCTTAGTTCTCTCCTTGATTAGTTTCCATCCATTGTTTCTTGTCCTGCCTTCTGGTGCTTTGGAGAATAGGTTGACCCTCTCTTCCTTGTGGCAGTCTCTTGGAACACTGCTCTCATGTTATCCCTAGTCCTTCTTTTCATTAAACTAGACATACCCAATTCTTGCAACCGTTCTTCATGTTTTAGCCTCCAGTCCACTAATCATCTTTATTGCTCTTCTCTACACTCTTTCTAGAGTTAATAATAATAATATAATAAGTTGGAAGGGACCCTGGAGGTCTTCTAGTCCAACCCACTGCCTAGGCAGGAAACCCTACACCACTTCAGACAAATGGTTATCCAACATCTTCTTAAAAACTTCCAGTGTTGGAACATTCACAACTTCTGGAGGCAAGTTGTTCCACTGATTAATTGTTCTAAATCTCTAGAGTCTCAACATCTTTTTTATATTGGGCGACCAAAACTGGATGCAATATTCCAAGTGTGATCTAACAGTTGGAATCTGCCATCTTAATATCCATGTTTCTGTGTCTGCCCTACGGTATGAGAGAGAATAGATAACTGTGAGAGATAATGTCCACGGAGGAGAAAGTGGTATGAAGGACTACAATGAGGCAGCAGCTTCTCAGGAAGGAGGAAGCACATTCCAACACGGGAAGTGGGGACACAAGAGGCAGCACAAGCCAGAGATAGATAGGAGACACAGAGAGTTTGGATAGCCACACCCTAGAATCTTCCAGGGTATATCCATTTGGCTGAGGGTAGTAAGGGTTGACTTTGGCAACGTTGATGTCCAGCTAAGTCCAAGAATGACATGGATCAGTTCAGCCAGAGTTTTGCTTGCACATAACTTAATCCTTACCATCCTCAGCCTAACAGATATAATACACCCTGGAGATTCTAGGACTTAACTATCTAAACTCTATTTCTTTGTCTGCTGTCCATCTATGGGTTGTGCTGCCTCTCATCTCTCCCCTTCCCCTTCTGGAATGTGCTTCCTCTTCGCTGGGAAGCTGCTGCCTCACCGGAGTCCTTCACACCACCTCCCTCTCCGTGGGGACCATCTCTCACGGTTTATCTATTCTCTGTCACCCCAGAGGGCAGACACAGAAACATGGATATTAAGATGGCAGATTCCAACTGAGTGTTAGGAAGAAACTTACATGGAAGAGTAATTGTGCCCGTGGAACTAATTACCCAGAGAGATACTGATTTTCTCTTTGTTGAATAAACCAGCTCACCTCCACAGGCGTCATCTCACACAATAACTGTCATATCCTCACTCGATCTTCTCCTTCCAAAGCTAAACCTACTCAGATGCTTCTATCTCTCTCGACTAAATTTCTATTCCACTAATCCTCCTCCTCTGAAGTTGTTCCAGTTTCTCTAAATTCTTGTTAAAAGTAACAGAGCCCAAAACTAGCCTACCTCCGATCAGGTAAGATGGGAACTCGCCATCCTTTCACTTGGCTGAGGCGTGGGTCAGACAGCTCAATATGAAGAGGGAGTTTGGGGACCCAAACAGTCATCTCCAAGAGGGCACTGAGGTGCTCATAGCTGAAGAAGACACCTGCATTCATGGACCCTCTAGACTCCTTGCCGCTCACAAAGACATAGTCACAGCTACTGGACACCTATAGAAAAATGGGGAGGAAAAAGAAGACATTCCACATTTTTATGGATTTTGAAGACTTTGAGGTAATTTTCAAAAAAATTACCATCAAACAAGGGACGGTTTCTGAACTGCCCTCTTACATGCCCTGCTGATTGTTTAAAAAACATTTGTGTCACGTCTGTAAGAAAGAGGGAAGGAGGAAAAAAAGAAGAGAAGATGGATACTTAAGTAAAGAAATAATAGCAACAGCACAGATTTACCGAAGTCTTTCTTGAACCTAATGACCAAATAAAAATAGAACCAGAAAAAGAAATGGTTTGGAAAAACATTTCCATTATAACTGATCAATATGCATATTGGCTAAAGTAAACAATGCCCTTCACTAGAGGGGCAGGCATTTAAGGATACTGCATAATTTCACATGCATTTGAACTCTAAAGTGGTTCAGTTAAGAGACCATTTTTATTATCGGCACGCTATAGCCTTTACTGTGGCAAATAAGCAGCTGAAAGCTGTCTACTCTGCATAGTCTGCTCCCTGAACTCTGCTGATTTATTTATGTCTTACCAAGTGAACATTTTGAATGTGAATGTTGTAGGAGGAAGGTCCTGGGGCAAACAATAATGAACCAGGCCCAAGAGGCACAATTTTGTCCCATCACCTGCACCCCAACTACTCAGTGGTGAAATCCAAATTTTTTTACTACCAGTTCTGTGGGCGTGGCTTGGTGGGTATGTTGTGGCTTGGTGGGTGTGGCAGGGGAAGGATACTGCAAACTCCCCATTCCCTCCCCACTCCTGGGGGTAGGATATTGCAAAATCTCCATTCCCAACCCACTCTGGGGCCAGCCAGAGGTGGTATTTGCCAGTTCTCCGAACTGCTCAAAATTTCCACTACTGGTTCTCCAGAACCGGTCAGAACCTGCTGGATTTCACACCTGCAACTGCTACTAAAAATGACTGACTATACAAGGTTTGTGCTCCAGTCAAAAAGGATTATTTTGATGGGATGCCAATCCTACTGAAGTTTTATAACCATTCAAAACCAAGTGATATGCATAAAACTTATAATAACTTATTAGAAGAGATCAGTAGGTATCTTGTAAGCACTTTGTGGAGTTGGGAATTGAAAACAGCAAATCCTTGCAGTTATGTTCCTATCAGAGATGGGTGCATCTCCTGTTCCTTCACCCAGGGATATTCTCTGAGGTTTTCCAGCTTGGCTTCAATGTATCTGTTGTGAGAGAGATGTCAAGAGCCAAAGATTCCTAGTGAAGAAATGACAATAATACTTGGCTTCAAGGCCATAGAATTTGTTGAAAATATGGGAAAGGGCAAGTGATGTTGTGGTCCGCCAGCAGCCTGTGGAGCTGGCAGCAGAATCAGACAGTGAGGAGGCTGGGGAGGACCATGGGCCAGTCCTGGAGTCTGGAGAAGGCTCGGATGAGGGCTCTGCTTCGGAGGCAGAGAAAGGGCCATCTGGGAGTTACGTGCTGTCTCCGGAGCCTCCAGAGTCGGACCACAGCAAGGCAGAGGAACAGGAGGAGCCATCAGTCCAGGCTGTGGAACAACCAGGTCTTCAAATCACAGCGGAACGAGCGAAGGTCAGGGGCCATCTGGTGCTCCAAAGGAAGTTGGTTCCAAAGGGTGGGTGCGCCCACAGAGAACGCTCTCTCCCTGGGGGTCGCCAGCCGACATTGTCTGGCCGACGGCACCCTGAGGAGGCCCTGTCTGTGGGAACGCACCGGGTGATTGGAGATTGTTGCTGGCTGCAGGGGGTCCGACAAGTATCCCGGGCCTAGGCCATGAAGGGCTTTATAGGTGATAACCAGCACCTTGAACCTCACCCGAAGGGCAACCGGTAGCCAATGCAGGTCACGCAGAAGGGGTGTAACATGAGAGTGTTGGGACACTCCCATCACAACCCGCGCGGCCGCATTCTGCACCAGTTGAAGCCTTCGAGTGGTTTTCAAGGGCAGCCCTAGGTAGAGAGCGTTGCAGTAGTCAAGACGGGAGGTGACCAGCGCATGAGTAACGGTGCGTAGGGCATCTTGGTCCAAGTAACTGCTGGCACACAAGATGGACCTGGGCAAATGCCCCCCTGGTCACGGTCGCTACATGATCTTCCAGAGACAACTGTATATCCAGGAGGACACCCAAGTTGCGGGCCCAATCCACATGTGTGGATGTGTTGTGATCTTGCAATGATTCCTATCATTGCATGTGGTGGCCAAGGTTAAGTAGGCACCATACAAGTTCAAGGAAAGGCTCCCAGGCTCCTAGATGTCAGAGTTCCAAGTAACACATCCACAACAAGAACTCCGAGGCAGGCATCTTCCTCAAAGAACAATTTATTAGGACATATCATATTGGCATGAATCTGGTGAAACTCTGCTCTAAAAGTCCCGCCGATTTTCACCTAATTTAAAGTAAAAGTTTTGTCACTTCCCCAGAGTCACAAGTCACAAGTCACAAGGTCCAATCAGCATACAGTCCAGTTGCTGGATGATCTCAGTCTCCTTCTTCATCACATCTGCACAGATGACCTTGGTTCCCAGGGGAAAGAATTTTATTTTGGCTTCAGCACCTAACTATCTCTATCACCCCTCCTCCCTGCTCCCAGCTCCAGGCTGTATCAACACTGAAGCAGCTAGAAAGAAAGAAAAAGCAAATGGCCACCCTCAGGCCAACTTCAGGGTTGACACTAGAATCCAATAGATCTTGCTAACATTAACTCAGACCTGGGTTGATTTTGAGGCTAGCATCTTCTAATAGGGCTGCCTTTGGGGCAACAGCATCCATGGTATCTCACGTCTATGTAAGGTCAAAGCGGACAAGATGGTGACCTGAAGATGAGAGGCTTGCATCACAATACTCCATCTACCACTTAGCCCATTCTGGTCGAAATAGATGAGCAGACTACAGCTTTGGAAATTGTAGGGAGTTCCAAGTGCGATTATTAGTGGACATGAATTATTAGGAGCGAAGAAAACTTTTAAGAGTCAGTCTCCCTTTTTTATGTTCAAATGCTATTAAATAGGAACGTAATAGATGGGAGACACAGATCATTCCTTTTAAGTTTCTTCTTTTTCTGCTTCTTCCCCTGGACCAACGAAACCATCTAATGGATGCTGGGGTAATGCATTTCTTTGGCAAGAGCTTTTCTTTGTGGTTATTTTGAACACTCAAAATAACATTACTTTCAGTTTTATGAGTAGCTAATAGACATCTTGCTATATAGGCTACCTCGAGCTCCTGAAAAAAAAAGATGGGATAGAAATCAAATGCATTAATTTAAATTTTATGCCCATTCCCAAGATGGCAATGAAATGGATTTCCCCGATGCCAAACAACCAAGAGGACACCCTAAAAATACATGCAAAGAACATTCATAGACGACTTAGAGTAGGGGTGTCAAACTCAAGGCCTGGGGGCCAGATCTGGCTCATGGGGTGCTTAAATCTGGCCTGTGGGGCCACCCTGGAAAGAGCGAAGGATCAGCCCGTGTTGCCTCTGCCAGCGAAGACAGGCTCCCAAGCTCCGTTTTCGGCTGCGACAGCATCCTGCAACCTCTGCCAGCAAAAACGGAGCTTGGGAGAGCCGCATACTGGAAAAACCCTTGCTGCCCGATAGGCTACACAGCATAGGAGGATCTAATGCAGTGGAGACATTCAAATTTTTTCACTACCAGTTCTGTGGGCGTGGCTTGGTGGGGGGGGGAGGTCCTGTGACTGAGTGGACATGGTCAATTCGATGTCACTCATGACCACACCCATTCAGTCACAAGCCATGCCCACAGAACCCGGTAGGAAAAAATGTGTGTATGAGCACCAGAAGGGCTCATAGTGAATGCTGTGGCAGAGAGAATCCGAACTTTTCTCTCTCCATTCACAGCGGAGCTGCTGCTCTCTTTATGGTCCCTCTCTGGTCCCCTCCCTCCCGGGGACTACCTTAAAGGGACAGGGTGCAGTAGCTTCACTGTGAATGGAGAGAGAAACATTCGGATTCTCTCTGCTGCAGCATTTAATGTTGAATGGGTCAAGCGTCCGGAAGGGGTGAGCAGTGACAGATGAGTTTAACTAGGGGTGGTTTTTACCGGTTCGGCAAACCGATTCAAATCGTCCCTACCTATTTGCCCAAACCGGTCAAATTTCTCCCCTGATAATGTTAATACTAATGCTAATCCAGCCGTTTGGTTCACAATTATTTTACAACCCTCCCTCTTTTCGGTCCTAGCACCTCTGATGAATAATAGTACATTCTCACAGTTGTGTAACAGGTCAGAATACTGACTTATCTTGCCCGGTAATGTCTACTTTGATTGGCACTTGGAGAGAAAGAAACATTTTCACGGTTTTGTTCTCTGTGACTCTTTAACTAGAGAGACGGGCAATTGAATCTGAAACATCTTCCATGCAAAACAGGTGGTCTCCCACTGAGGAATGGGCTGTCTCTCAGGAGGTTTCAACCAGAGACCAAAACTGCTGTGAAAATCACAGCTCTCTTCATTTAAATCTACTCCCTGCCCTTCGTTCGGGTATATTTTAATTGGAATTGAGCAGCTAAGAGAGTTTATTATGGTAATGTGTTTGCCTGGGTCTGTGTCTCTGTACATATGTGTGGCAAAACCTGCTAGGGTCTATTTCCTTTTACTCCCACAGGGCTACTTAAGCTTGGCTTCGACATCCAAGAGACACAAGCTCAGCATGTCTGCAAAGACAATCCCAGCTTGGCATCAGAATAAAAATGAGCCCTGAAATGCATTTCTGGATACTGTGTCATTCATCAAAATAAAAATGCTGGGCTGTCACTTGTATCCCTTACGCTAATAAACACACCCATCGGCACAAACCGATGAGAGATTCTCCCAGCCTCTCAGGGCCTGAGAATGCAAATACTACTAAAATTAATACCATCTCCGTTCCGAGACGCCTAAAAAACAGCTCCTTCCTGAGGCTCTTTGTTGTGGCCTGTCGACCGCCAGCCCCTCCAGCAGCTGAATCAGAGGAGGAGGAGGAGG